TAACCGTTTGACAGCCCTAATATATATATATATATATATATATATATATAATTGTAATTATAATTGTATGTATTGTTGCAATAGTAATCTATTAAAATAAATATTTATTAATATTAATAATATCACATGCCTGAACCCTGAATTACAGGATGATGTTGTTACAGTGTGTTTCGTTTGAGACTCACCACAATAAGAGCAACTACAGACAATATGTAGAAGAAAGAATCACGGAAAACAGCCCACCAGGTCAGTAAGACCACCTGCAGACATAAACACACACACTACTGTCAAATCAATCAATAAATACACAAAGCTAGAGAACAATGAACAGTGTGCACTGAATATGACCTGCGATTTACAAAAAGAAAAAAAGAAAACAACCATGTTAAATAATAAATGGTTCAATATATAAATCTCACAAGACATGCAGCGAGGCCTCCAGTTATTATCTCAGAAATAAAAACAAATGCAATTTTAATCAGATTTTGTATGAAAACCTTTTGGAAATCCAATAAGAACAATAAATATCATTTAGAGTCAAATAAGTTAAATACATTTGAAAAAAATGCAGTTGATCTTAAGAGAGAGAAAAAATCATTCTGGAAATAGAAGGTCATTATACAATTAGATAGTATTCAACACACATTTTGGCAAATGCATTGAAACCGACCAAAAAAAAAAAAAGCGTTTACTTTTAAAACAAATCAAGATCAGTCATTTGCTCTTTCATAAAAGAACCATCATCGTTACAATTGTTTTTGAGGTTCTTTGAACTTTAAGTATATTCTTCATTTCAGTGTTTTTTAATGCACCCTTATGTAGATGGTTTTATTATTTTGAAATATTGCTGACTTTACAGCTATTTGTTGGAGAAGAAGCAAACACACAAACACACACACCTGCCCAGCAAAAATCCCACAAACTCCTATGATGCAGAGGATATTGAAGACGGCAGAACCGACGATAGTTCCGACTCCAACATCACCGTGAGTGATGAAGACCCCTGAAAACACAAAAGTTCAAAACAGGAAGTTCTGTGTCACAGTTTAGGCGTTTGCTCAAATCTGAACACAAATAATCACTAATAAAAGAACACTGCAAAAAAAAAATATAATAATATAATAATATCAATTCTTAAAAGAAGATGAGCAAAGTTAGTTTTTTCAAGAAAGTCTTGTTTTCTGAAAAGCTCTGCAAAGTTATCACCGGGAGTATATCTATATCAGTGTGAGTGTTTCTGAACTCCTGAAACGCCTCCATTGTAGTCTTGAGTTTCTTCACACGTCACAATATTCCTCATTATAATAATTCATGCGCATAATAAAGGGGCGGGGCCTGGTTGAGTTAGTTAGTAGTGTGTTAAACTGGTGGTTATGTTGAGAGCGGGACATTTCCCAAACACACTCGAAGCACTCGACCAATCACAACACACTGATCCAGCCGACCAATCAGAGCACAGTGTGCTTTTCAGAAGGAGGAGCTTCAAGAGACAGGAACTAAACAGGGGGTTACTCGCTATTTTTCCATCACCCTGTTTTTATGAGCATATTGAAGTATCGCATCAGAAATTTTTTATGCTCGCTTGAGGTGTTTTTTGTCTTGTGCAAAACACAGTTAATGCAAATAATGGAAGATTGAAACGCATTTGCCGAATAATTTCTGACGGGAACGGAACGGGATCATTTGGCTCAGCTCAGTAATAAAAGTATAGGCTTGTGTGTGTTACTCATCTTGTTTTCTGATCTTTTCATCATACTCTTTGACCACTCGCACTCCATGAAAACTTTGAAAAGATTCGCTTCAAGTTTGGATGGAAACTCCAAACATGAACATTCAAACATGAAAACTCTGTAAAGAGCATTATAGATACCAAGAAAAATAGAATATTTGAATTCAAATTATTTTTCTAACTCGAATTTCTCTTTCTAGTTTTAAGCAAAAACGGTCTTCATTTTGATACAGGTGGACATAATCTAAAGTCATGTTGCTGGTCAGGTAAATGCATCTTGATTGAAGCATGTTTAGATATTTGTACTGGAAAACAAGTCAAAAACACTGAGTCTGAGGGATAAAGCATTTTTTTGCAGTGAACAATGTGTGATGATTGAGACTTTACCTATAACAGATGCGAAGAGTTCAGGCGCTGAGCTCCCCGCCGCCATGAACGTGGCACCAGCAACATCCTCGCTCAGATTCAGCTTCTGCACAACACAAGAACAGCAGACGCTTCACATCCAACAAAGCCTTTGGCACAAAACTGGAGCAGTGTGTTTTATGAGCTCCTGAAAGCCTCCAAGTGGGTCAGAGGAAGAACAGTGCGGATTCTGCTCTCATTGTACCGCGGATGAAGGGGGAATTCATTGGGATCGGGATTTGAACAATCCTACCTCGCAGATTTTTTCCAGAGACATCACAAAGTAGTCGTCGCACACGATAGCCAGGGCCAGGAACATGTAGAGAGCCTGTAGGAAGACAACAGAAGATCTCAGGTCAGACGTCACCACCTCAAATAATCACAGAAGAGATTTCTTTTTTTATTTTTTATTTTTATTATTTATTTATTTATTACAAGGACAGTGCATATTAACATGACAAGTCAAAATATGCCAGAGTTAGCCAAATGGCTAGTTTTCATCTGCAGTCCTGGGCCAGATGTACAAAAGGCAACCTAAAAATACAATGTAAATAGAACAAATATAATTAAAACATAACAAACCAAAACAACTACACAAAAAAAAAAACAATAAAATAAAAAAAATCAATGTAGACATATTTGCATGCTAAAAAGCCACATTTTAAAAGAAGAACGAAATTCATTATAACTATTTAATTCTCTAACAGACGTTGGGATGTCATTCCATTCTTTTGAGGCTTTAATAGAGAAGGCAGATTGACTAAAAACAGTTTTCCTAAAATTAATAACACAGTCCCTTCTAAGGGAACCTCTAGTGAAACGACTATTAACCGACCTTAAACTCACAAACTCACTAAGAGGTGGTGGGGCCAGGCCATTTAGAATTTTATAAACTAAACAGCCATTTGAAAACTTAAAGTTTTCCCAACTCAACCAATTATATTTTGATAGAATTTTACAATGATGAAAATGATGTGGTTTCTTATCAAAACATTTTAGCGTTTGTTTATTGGTAGCCAGGCGGAGTGGTTGGCCTGAGACCAAGTAGTGAGACAATAATTCATATGTGAAAAAATCATAGAGTGCATAAACATTTTGGCAGCTTGGGTAGACATTGAATTCCTGATATAACGAAAATTAGATAAATTGTATTTTATTTTCTTAATAGTATTTGAAATTTCTTTCTTTAATATCTCACTTATAACCATTAGATCAATTCTGCTGCGAAAAAGACAGACTCTTCTAGAGCTTCAGAAGAGCTCTTATAAACTGAGCTTAGATTTGACAACTCATCAAATTCTCCTGGACCGAATTATCAGAGCTATTCTGTCAACATTCATATAATAGATCGTCATTTTCTGAGCCGAATCAGACTCTTTGCAAGTACTGTGCATGAAAATGCTATTAACTATGCAAGCTAGATTTTGTGCATATACTGTCAAACTTTAGTGCAATTCATTACATGACATCTACATTTAATCATTTAATCATGAGCAACCACAAGCAATGCTAAGCTTAAGCTATAAATGTTTTTATTTTTGGCTTGATTTGTGGTTTATGTGCTTGGCAGAGCAACAATTTGAAGTTAGTAAAAACTGTTTAAGCTGTCAATGTCAAACTATTCAAAATTGTGTTCATTAATTAAAACAAAGCGTAATGAAAATTAAATATAGGCTTAATATTAGAATTAGAAATATTGAAATAAAATATGTTGAAGTACTCAATTTATTGAAAACTAAAGTAGGCTAAATAGAAATACAGTATTATTTAAAGGACAACTCCGGCGCAAAATGAACATTTGGTCTAATTACATATTGCTACTTAGTCAACCGTTATCTGAGATTTGTTTTCATGATTGCCGAATGAAAATTGTCTCATCTCTAAAAACAGTTTAGCCTATAACGCTAGTATATAGGACATAGAGAAATGACAAATAAAAATCGCTTGTTATGACCACTAACAAGGCTCAAAATAGCCCCACACTAAAACGACAGCATAATAAGGGTCTCTACATTCAAACCGAAGCATTGAGAACTTTGTCAGTGTCCATACAGTTTAATAAGAAGATATTTTATACACACAGTCAACTTCGCGAATACAGGAAGAAGCCATCTTTGAAAAATAGTCTCTACCAGTCGATCTACGAACGGCGATCCAAGTGCGCTGAACTGTGCAGAATCAATCTCATATGGTCCGAAATACAAACACGAACCGTTTTCTTCTCATCAATATGTACATGTAGCCTACTGTTCGCGCTCACCTTATCACCTTATTCACATCATCTCACCACCAGCACTTGGATCGGCGTTCGTAGATCGACTGGTAGAGACTATTTTTTTCAAAGATGGCTTCTTCCTGTATTCGCGAAGTTGACTGTCTTCTTATTAAACTGTATGGATGGACACTGCTTCGGTTCGGTTTGAATGTAGGGACCCTTATAATGCTGTCGTGTTACTGTGGGGCTATTTTGAGCCTTAGTGGTAATAACAAGCGATTTTTATTTGTCATTACTCTATGCCCTATATACTAGCATTATACTAGCGTTATAGGCTAAACTGTTTTTAGAGATAAAACAATTTACATTCGGGAATCATGAAAACAAATCTCGGATAATGGTTGACTAGGTAACAATACGTAATTAGACCAAAGGTTCATTTTGCACCGGAGTTGTCCTTTAAAACCAGAATGACAAAAGCACATCAAGTTATTAAACATTTTATTGAAATAGAAAACTGAAAATATAAAGATAAAAGCTTAGTCAAAATATTAATAAATAGTAGGCTACTACTGTATATAAACAGCCACTGATGTGTAGGCTAGGCAATATCTAGCTGAAAAATAATATGCTTAACGTCACAGACATAAAAACCTCTACGTAAAACAGATACTCAATCGCCCCTTTCCGTCTATCGATATTAATGTTTATTACCACCACAAAAATATACCTAACTACTAGAGATGTACTGATACCGATGGCCAATCATCCAGAATGATATCCGCCAATTGATAGTTCGATTTTATTGAGAGAGAAAAAACACTCCCAAATAAATTATACAGGGAACCCTCTCATTTGGTACATTACTGTAATATTAGAGTCTAAAATGAACAACATGAGCTATTAAATTCAACTGCTATTTATTCCCATATATACTAACTTCACAAGCACTTTACAACTGCACCTGCAACTTACTAATACAGATACTAGCCCAGCCTCTTAAAAGCTCAAGACAAGAAATCATTTTTAAAACAAGCTTTAAATACATTTAAAGAAGATCTCTCTTAGTTCAAGACGCAGGCTATCCCAAAGCCTCGGACCCGCAACAGCAAAGGCCTTTTGATTGATAGAATTCTGGTTATAAACAGCCAATACTGATTATTTGCTGATACAACAGATCAGTGCATGCTTGCAATTCTGTACGTCAACTATGGACTCAAATGTGTGTATTTTCATATCACATATGAAACCTTCCCCTAAGGAGGAGGCACACAAAACTGTTCATCATCTCTGTCAGGTCAGGCCTGACTGCACACCTCTGCATTCACATCTGCATTCACTGCAAACCCTCTCCTCGTCCAGCTTAATGAGCCGCCCACACAGTAAAAGCTTATTTATCCACAGTTTGAAGCCAAAGTAAACTCAAGCATGTACTATGATGACCTTCAGATGAGGGTCACACTCTTCCGTTATAACGGTTATTTATTTTGACTTTTTCCACATCTATAATCAAACATGCTGTTTATAACTGGCCAAAAGTGATGTCCAGTTTAGGGACACTGGTATCTTCACCTTTTATTCAAGTATTATAAAAACATTTTTTTTTAAAGATTTTGTAAGCATATTGTGTGTAGTTGTGCTAGTCGGTTGTTTTGTTTTGTGATAATGCAAATTGTGCAAATTTAGGACAGGCTGTCAAACAAAAAAAATGCATGCAAAAACAAGAGAGAACCAACCAAATATTAATAACTGATTATGTTGTATCAATGCTTTTTTATAATAAAGCCTGTAGTTTTGGCCAATTACTTTTGTCATTTTGTCCGATAAATATTATATAATATACCAAGTTTAGTGTTTTGTTCTTCCCTCATCTTTAAAATATTGTTTAAGAAAATATAAAACATATTTTGATGGTTTAATTGAACGTTAAAAACAAGCATCACTTTTGGCCACTACTGAATGTGTGATTTGACTGACAAAGGGTTTTTAAGATGAACTCCAGATGAACAGGGCAATAAACATTTGACAGCTAATAGACAGTTTTCTGAAATGTTTAAAAAACATATATTTTATGCATAGTTGCATTAAAATGTAAAAAAAAAAAAGTTAACATTTTGTTGACATTAAAGGTTTTTACAGAAGTGGATCTATTTTTATAACTCTATATTATAGAAAATACTGTCAACAGTCACAAAAAAAATGTTTTTTAGAAAGTATAATTTTATATAATTCAGGCGAACGATAATTGAAGAAACCTTCAGAAGATAAAGTTTGTTGTATGTAAATCTGCAGAGGAGGAGATTTCTGAAGAGAAAAAAATAAAAAAGTGTAATAAAATAACATAAATGCATATTTTGTATACAAGTCATGTTGTTGACCAGTGCATGAAAAAACGACGGCTTTGCCTCAAGAACTACAGTAAACAAACAATGAAACTCACTAACATCCATCAAATGAATTTTCACAAGCATTTTATAGACTGTTTAGTCATAAAAATCATCAATCCGTTGATGAGAAATGATTTCACAGAAGCACAAAGCATAAATAGTTCAGCATTCCAGACAGACATGTCCATGATCAATTGCCGCCACAGGGGGCGCTAAAGGAAAACACAAATCCCACACATCGATGCATAATTCAGACCTGAGCCTGTGTGCGTGATGCCCAACATTACAGCGTTACATAACCACGGCAGATTTAATTGTGCTGCTCATGGGCGATGGAGTTAAATCTAGTCATATTACCAGTAGATTAACCCACACAGTAAGATCCAGTTGAAACCAGCGAAGAGCTGCACGCTATTAAATCATGACACATGACCTTTACAAAACTTAAAGAAATAAAATGACTAGTCAGTTGATGTTCTGAGGAGTCAAACAGATTGTCTTACCGCTATGATGTGTAGCAGTACAGCACCGCTCTTGCGCTCCGCATTGGTGAAAACATCATCTGGAAACTCATTGATGGCTGTAAAAAACATAAACACACATTTACATTCATGCATTTGATCCAAAGCAAATTGCTGTTGATTCAAACAGTTTCCAAACATTTAGGTCAATGTTTCAGAAATCATGTAGGCTACCACAATTCAAAACAACATATCTGGCCCTCATCTTTTATCTAACAAACCTGGAGGAATGAACTTATTCATGAACGTTGGATATGCATAAACAGACGGACTGGAGAAAGAAGACAGATAAATGACTAACTCAGAGACGAGATAAAAGTGGGCTGGAAGGTTTTTTGCATTCAGATGTTGTGAAAGGCCACCGTTGACGGCATGTTTGCATGAGTTCTCCCCGTGACATCTTTTGTTCTCAGATGTTTTCCAAACATATCATTGATATCTGAGGTTATAGAAATGATTCGTTCAGTCTGAGCTGTGTAAGTGCAAATGTGTGTGTGTTTAAACTCAAGCAGGGAACATAGACAGAATATCACGGATTCGGATTGAGTAGTGTACCGTATATATATACTCTAAACTATGCATTATTTTTATAATTTTAGAAAAATTATTTTAAAAATTGCAGTTATTCTTAATTTTCAATTAGATTCTATGTACAACACAGCACTCTGATGACACACTGTATCCGACAATGCAATGCACCTTCCATTTTCAGTCTGACAAATGAACAGGACATAAAACATTTTAACATCTTTTGACTCATATTTGATCAGGCTACTTATAATGTTTCTATTGTGTGAGTGTTGTCTCACTTACTACTAAACAACAACAACAACATTTACATGCACATATATGCAATTGGCAGATGCTTTTAACTAAAGCTAGACTGAAGAAAATGTGGGTTAGGATTTACTTGGAAACCGTTTTCAGTCAGAAATTGCTAGTAAATTTGAAACAAAACTGAGATCCACTAAATAAATAAACAGACGCACAGAATAAATAAATAAATAAATGACAAAACTGATATATAAAAATACATAAAAATAAATAAATAGCTATAGAAATGACAACACAGATGCACAGAATAAGTGAATAAATGACAAAACAGAGATGCACAGAATAAATTAATAATTAAACAACAACACTGAGATGCACAGAATAAATTAATAATAAATTAATAAATAAACAACAACACTGAGATGCACAGAATAAATTAATAATAAATTAATAAATAAACAACAACACTGAGATGCACAGAATAAATTAATAATAAATTAATAAATAATCAACAACACTGAGCTGCACAGAATAAATTAATAATAAATTAATAAATAAACGACAACACTGAGATGCACAGAATAAATTAATAATAAATTAATAAATAAACAACAACACTGAGATGCACAGAATAAATTAATAATAAATTAATAAATAATCAACAACACTGAGCTGCACAGAATAAATTAATAATAAATTAATAAATAAACAACAGCACTGAGATGCACAGAATAAATTAATAATAAATTAATAAATAAACAACAACACTGAGATGCACAGAATAAATTAATAATAAAATGACAACACTGAGATGCACATAATAAATTAATAATAAATTAATAAATAAACAACAACACTGAGATGCACAGAATAAATAAATTAATAAATAAATGACAACACTGAGATGCACAGAATCAATAATTATTAAACAAATAAACAACAACACTGAGATGCACAGAATAAATTAATAATAAATTAATAAATAAATGACAATACTGAGATGCACAGAATAAATTAATAATAAATTAATAAATAAACAACAACACTGAGATGCACAGAATAAATTAGTAATAAATTAATAAATAAATGACAAAACTGAGATGCACAGAATAAATTAATAATAAATTAATAAATAAACAACAACACTGAGATGCACACAATAAATAAATACATAAATAAATAAATGACAACACTGAGATGCACAGAATCAATAATTATTAAACAAATTAACAACAAAACAGAGATGCACAAAATAAATTAATAAAATGACAAAACTAAGATGCAGTATAAATAAATAAATAAGCTAGTAATGACAAAAAATAGATGCAGAGAATAAATAAATAAATGAGAGAACTGAGCTGCACAGTATAAATAAAGAAATAAACTGAGATGCAAGAACAGTTTAAATGAAGACAAATGCACAGAATAAATAGATAAATCAATAAATCTCATTGATATTGTTTCAAGGTCAAGTTGAGTCCATTGCGCTGTGGGATACAGCACAGCGTTCTCTGGTTGTGTGCTGAACAATACAGGACATTCACACACACACACACTGCACAATAAACAAACTGCTGCGGGAAATATGATGGTAGGATGCTATAACCACGGGGATAATCCTGTGCAGGACGGCAGTGTTAATGCCAAAACATGCAGAAGCAGCCCGGCCCCTCACGCACAGCGAGCTCCTGCACAGGTGAAGGTGACTTCTGCTCCGTTATCCGCTCACTGTACTAAAGGGGAACACATCAATATTCCTGCTCAGGACAGCGATTACAGCTTCATCTGAAATGATCAATCAATCCTTCGTCTGTTTTCACACACCTTTATAATGTGATTGAAACCGTGCTGAACAGATTATGTTAATGTGATTAAGATCGTAATTAGAGTAACAATATTCACAGTGAAATCCAGAAACAGAACAGCTTTACATGACAAGGGGTCGTGTGTTTTTTAGGAGCATTAACAAAGGACACCAAGTGCCCTTGAACCAGTTCACATTTAAAGCAAGTGTTGTGGGTTGGTGTTAGCGAGTGAAAAGGAAAAACAATGGCAGAAAATAACCACATTTCATAGCAAATGATCGGAAAATGCCACGTAGCATGTAAAGGGAATTGAAAGAGGCGTTCAAAATGCATACTACAACTATTCTTTCTATTTCTGCAGCATATAGTGTTTGTAAAAGTGGGGTTCGCCATGATTATGCACACTAGAATGCATTTATTTGATCAGAAATACAGTCAAAATATTATTACAATATTATCACAATTTAAAATAACTGTTTTCTATGTGAATATATAGTAAAATGTAATTTATTTCTGTGATCAAAAGCTGAATTTTCAGCAGTCTTCAGTGTCACATCTCTTCAGAATGCTTGAGAAACATTTCTGATTATTATCAATGTTGATTTTTTTTTTTTTTTTTTTTTGTGGGAATGGTAATCCATTTTATTCACTATTCGTTAATGAATAGAGTTCAAAATAACAGAATTTATGTGAAATAACATTAACATTATAAATGCTTTTACTGCCGTTTTGATACATTTAATGTGTCCTTGCTGAATCAGATAATTAATTTCTTTCAAAAAAATAAAATAAATAATAATAAAAAAAATAATAATTCCTGACCCCAAACTTATGGTAATGGGAAAAAATACCATTTCGGAACTATAGTCATCCCTGATTGGTCTTAACCCCAGTGACGGGTAGGTTTAGGGGCGGGGTTAGGGGTAGGCCATCGTGGGGTCCGGATAACAGGAAAGTACCGTATTGAGAATGAGGAGTTGACGTAATTTTACAGAGCCCCTCCCCTTTCCGCCATGTTGGTAGGTTTCCCACGGCAAAAAAGTATTGATTAAGTGTGTTTTTAGCTCGGTAGTAGAGGAGTTTCTCGCAATACCGCAATGTTTTACCATGCCTGGAAATAACTGCTGCGTTAAAAACTCCTCCAGTAACTCACACGATACATTTGGAAAACATAGAAACAATGAAATTAAGTTTTTGGGGTTACCAAAATGGACACAGCAGGAGAGAGTCTAACCTGAAGAGAAGACGCCGGATTGCTGGGTTTGCTGATGCCTTTATACGATTGTCATTTGTCACTGTTTGCTGTGCCTTAACGAACATATGCAAAAGTGTTGTTTGAGTGCCTTGTTCATTACTTTTTTATTTCATTGAAATAAATGTTTGAAACAACTTGATATGGCTTAACAATATTTATTGAGAACTGAAATACATAGGCTATTTGGACAACATAAGTTTCATGGACAACATAAGTAATAATAATAAAATAATAATACTGTTATTAGTGCAAAAGAATAAATATATTGATGCTGCTTCTCCAAATACAGCTGTTTTGCACTTTGTGTGAGTTTGTTCCTGTGAGATCTTTTAGCATTGCTTTACTTTCTTCCTTTTTTCTCGTATTCTTAGATCCGTCTCTGTCCTGCCAAAATAATAAATGCGCGAAAATTTAAGAGCTCTGGAACGTTTAGTCGCGCCTATGGGTTTTAAAGGCGTTGCCCCTGGTAACCGATAGCGTCTCCTACCATCATGGACGACCGGCTCAGACCCCGCCCAAATAGGCACGTGACTCCTCATTCTCAATTGAACACTATACGTGAATTAAGTTTTGTAACTAAATCAAGCATTTAAAAATAATATAGCCAATAGTTTTAAGCAGCAAGACCTGTAAAACATTGTCAATGCAGATTCACGTAATCATGACGTCAGTGCTTTGAGTGTTTTCTGGACTGTAATAAACACGCGTCAGAGTTTGTGTTTCTCTCAGTTCTTCGTGAGGACGTTGCTCATGAGTCTCCTGAGACTCGGACTCATCTGTGTGTGTTCATCACGCCGATAATGCGAATCAAGCGTTCACTAGGTCAGTGTGGACGCGCGTTAAAGGGGTGATGAACTGAGAAATCAAATTTTCCTTGAGCTTTTGACATCTAAGAGGTCATCATATTATAAGAATATCCTGTAAGTTTCAGAACTGAAAACGTCCTTGTTAGTCCAATAAAAGCTTTTATTGACACAGCCTCTAAAAACGACTCGTTTTTAAAAGTGGGGAACTATGACGACAAAGAGGATAAAACATCACCCCCACAAAAGATGATCAACGCCTGCTTCACCACGGCAGGTTTAGCCCCGCCCACCGATTCGCGCATTTACACACAAGTATCATACATGTACATGCTTACCTCGTGATGAAACTGGATCGCTACGGAGCAATACAGAATATTGTGCAGTGCCTGGTTGTGCAAGACAGTCGCTGCATAAGCTTCCTGTGGATTCCAATAGTACTTCATGGATAAAATTTATTTTTAATGACGTTCCAGCTGATGAGGTAAAACATCGTCGTCTGTTCGCTTCATTTCACTGAGGATTGTTTTGTCAACAAGACTGGATTTGCAGACCGATTAAGAGTAAAGAACGGTGCTGTGCCGTCTATATTGGATCTGACAGGAA